GTACATAGTACCACTACTCGCCACTAGATGTCGTTAAGTGTCACAATACACAATAATAATTGAAATGCAAAAAAAGCGTAAGTTTGCTTAGGTCACGCACTTTGCGACTATCCTAGTCTAGAAATATAGTTAAGGGCAGAAATTGGGCCCTTGGAACAAACTGAAAAAATTATTATGGCCCGAAGGCTTCAAAGTTTGAAGACCCCTGGTCTACGCCAACAAGCCGATGACGTTGGAACAACTCAGAAGCCAACATTGAACGCGAAATAGCGGCCGATACGGCCTAAACGTGTGACCGAGTTATTGAACCAAAACGCACGCTTTGAAAGTAACCCAACACCCGTAAAATTGTATCGGGACAGGGAGAGATTTCGGGAACTGAATAAACTTCAAAGTGTAGAGCATTTGTATCACTACTCTCATTACTTTTTGTTTAACACACTGTGGTTTCATCAACATTCTCTCCCGTTTGTGCACTTGGCAATGGTTCCTAGTATCGTTTCTATAGTGACCGCTTAAAAAGGCGTCCACCTACGACGTTCTGTGGCGCAACAAGCTCATTCCGCCGGTAACGCCGCCGCATCACCCGCGCAACCGAATCGCCTGAACTTTTCGCAAAGGTCAGATGAGCAAATGCGTGTTTTGTGGAATACGACGTAACAGATTCGATCTAAAAGCACTGAGTAGCACAAACAAATACATCTCGTATTGCTTTTCGCGAGCGGCGCATAACTTCAAGATACAAGATCTACAAAAAAATATATCACAACATGTAGATGAAAAATATACAAGAGAAAATTTTCAATTATCTTCAATTGCCTTCTGTAGTGATTGCTCCATTTTGGAAGAAATTCTTTTGTAAATATTCATACTAGTTACTTATGACGCACTGTTTTGGAACACCGGAACCTTTGGTGTAGTAATGAATATTACTGGAGTTTTTTTCCCAACACCAAATCGTTATTTTTAACAGCTCGACACGTGTTTCGATCACCAAGTGATCATCTTCAAGAAGAAGATTAAACTAGAAACTAACGCGAAGCTAATGCTATTTATGCTATATAGGTATCTCATACAGGAGTACCACCCATACAGGTATACCACCCTAAATTAATTTTACAATTTTGCCTTATCTATTATTTTACAATATATGTTTAAATGTTATAGCTGTATATAAAACAATTTTCAGCTATATAAAAATTAATTTCACAATATTGCCTATCTAAATTTATTTTTGCAATGTGTCCTCATGTAGTAATCAGTAAACCCAACAATATTATTTTAACAAGCTATNGTCGAGGTGTTAAAAATAACGATTTGGTGTTGGGAAAGAAACTCCAGTAATATTTATACTAGTTTCTAAATCTTTCCAGCAAAGCATTGAACTTTGACAAACCCTTCAATATTTCAGAAAATTCTATGACTACACGGGCAGGTAAGTGTTATTAAATAAATTGATACTTAATTAAAAATAGATACGTAAGTAAAATAATTAATAATGTAATAGTCAATTAGAAATGAAAATTCTTATTAATTATGTAGTTATCAATAATTAATAAACTTTATATGGCGTGTTTTTGACCGGGACTACCGGTTGACCTCAAATGATGGTCTACAAAAGCACTATCCATCCTCTATCTCGAAAAGTATACGACGCATAAACCTTCTAAAACAAAAGTGGTAGGGAATTCAATCCTCTACAGTATTGATAATGAATACAAGTACGGAAAAACCTACAGGAACCGAGATATTTGCAAAGAAAGTGCAAAAAATCGATTTCTAGAACCTTTCACCTTAGATTTTAATAGTTGCGTACACCCGACCATAAGTAGGTTCGGAGACAACTTCAAAGATGTCAAAATACAAGTTTATACGAGTCTATACCTGAGTATCTCAGTGGTGAACTTACCAAGATGACCGGACCACTTCGAGCTATCCCATAATGAGCCACAAAGAACATTTCATTTCACTTTACTGTATTTTCTCTTTCAATATCAACTCTCCGACGCTAATCTCTGATCAATCGAAGAGAAGTGTCTGGCATGCCATCGTCGACGAATTCCAATTTCAATCATCCCATTTACAATACGATCATCCGTTCAATTTGCAAGTTAATCGAGCAGGCGAGCCGGTCGGTTCTCTCTCTATCTACCTCTGCCTCCGTCTGACAGTCCCACATCACGTGAAATTCACAAGCCAGACCAATTAAAGAGTAATTTGTCGCTTGCTCTGCTCCGCAATCTGATTTCGTCACCGCCGGTGGCATTCTGCGCCTCTCGTTTTACCAGCACTCAATTTTTCGGTGGTAAACTGGATAATTTAGATGAGGGAGGCATAACGTTTATTGGGAGAATAAAAAGGGCACGAAGTCCGATTGCCAGTCAGTCAGTAATTATGACCTGAAGGTTCTTTCACATCTTAAATTGAGGTATCTTCTAACCGCAAACCACCTTCTCCTCAAATATTTGGATGACTAAAGCTGCGGCCTCACTGAGTCGACACTATCGATCGACAAAATGTATCGATCGACATGTCGATTTATTTGCCATCGATTGTCGGTAAACATAAAAGAGCAGTCGATCGACTTTAGTGTGTGGAAGTGTTTTCGACGTTCGGTATTCGACAAACCGTTAGTACTCAGTGAATTTAGTCTAATCAACAAGTTCAAAAACATGAAAAATAGAGAGGTACGAGCGATAGCTCATTCGATTCGGAATCACCTCTAGAAAATTGTTTTTGAAGGATTTTGGTGCAGGTAAAAAATTGCAATTGTTATTAACAAAATAAGAATAAAAAAATGGTATTCAGTTTAGAATAGAATTTATTCATCATTCAAATATCATACACATATAACATATACATTACTGGTTCAATANAGTTAACAATTGAATAACTTTTTAAAAAATGGTGATAACACTTTTTTTCTACGGGATTCGATTCATTCAATTGTTGCAATTTTTAACCTGCACCAAAATCCTTCAAAAACATTTTTCTAGAGGTGATTCCGAATCGAATGAGCTATCGCTCATATTTTTAGGACCTTCATCTTTATTTTTCATGTTTTTGAACTTGTTGATTAGACTAATTCTTGCCTTGGTGACATTGTAGCTGTGTGTTTTCGTCGGAGAAATGGAATGGGAACAAAATAAAGCCGTAGCCTTTACTGAGACATACCAACTAAAAACAAATATATGCGATTCTAAATCCAAAAACTATAAGAACAAACTTGAGACATGATGCTCTTATGGAAATTGCCAAAGAATTTAACGCCAAGAAACAAGCGGGAGAACAAAAAATTAGAAGTCAATTGGCAAGAGAAGTAAATAAAAAGGACATCAAGACATTTGGCTCTGGTACGGAGGATGTGTGTATAAAAGTAAATGGTTTGCTTTTGAAGCCATGAAATTCTTACTAGACAAAAATAAGCCCAGGGAGATGTTGGATTCGACTGTTCGACAAACATTTTGGGTCGACTCGGTGTAGACAGATGCAGCTTTGTCGCTTGTTGATCTAAAATGTCGATAGACTCAGTGAGGACGCAGCCTAACGTTTTGAGCGATCATCAATATGGATTTCGGAAACATAATCAACAGGCGACCTTCTATCGAATGTCAGTCATATTTCGAATAACCCAATCGAGAAACATGGGGAATCAAGACCTGTTGTGCTAGATATTTCAAAGACATTTCGTCGCATTGTCACATTCCAATCACACAGTATCAAGCACCCTCTCAGAACAAAATACTAACATCATCAAATCGTTCTAACCCAAGACTTAATACCAAAAAGAAACGCATAGACAAGGATAAATAATGATGACATAATTCAGCTCGGTCGGCCGATTTACATGCCAAGTTATCTCATCCTCGAGCTACATTTACCGAAACATTCCATCACCGCGATGACGAGGTGATAACGTACCGATGATGTAGAGCGCGCGAGATATGACAACCGCCCCCGTCCTTGCCGCCCCTTACCCGCCCCCGTAACGACGTGCAGTGGCGGCCTGAACGCGCACGCCATCAGAGTGGGTTAAGGATACCATAAAGGGCGTCTAGACCGAGAGAGAGTTCATCAACTAACCCGTGGAATTATCGCGATCCCTCGAGTGTCCTTACGCAACCGACCGAGTAATAGGAAAACGGGGTCCAATGGGCGGGGTCAACCACTGCAGTCACAGCGAAGATTTTTTCGATAAAATTTCATCATTGAAAACATTTTTCGAGTGACAAAATTTCAAAACCACCAAATCGCCTCTTGGAATAGTAGCTCATGTTCACATTACTTACAGAGTTGCAAACGATATCATGGAGAGCTATGACTCAAACAAGCTTTAATTAAACTCCAACAAGACCAATTTCCTTACCATCAAATTCGAGCTTCCACAGCTTAGTTTGATCGATAATATTTCCGAGGCGAATTTTGAAGACTTCACCCTGATAATAATAAACTTTGAATCTAAGAATTTATACTCCTCATTAGTTACTACACATTTCGTTATCAAGAGAATTTCAAAATTAGCAAGATCAGCTTACTTTGCCTCCTGAAGAGGCCACTGAGATCTATTACCATCCCAACAAAAAGAGAAGGTTTACAGTGGACCAATGGGAGAAACCTAGTAATAGTACGAGCCCAATCAGAACGACCCAGCAAAAGTGCAGACCAATCAGGAGAGAGCATACTCATTGACACGCCTCCATCACCCCCACCACCTTCTGAAGTTATAGATGACTGACTGGTGAGCACGTAGCTCACCAGTCAGTCGTTTCCTAAAATCGAGGCGAGCTTTTATTATAATAATTATTACTTGAATTAATTAATTTTTTTCCATTACAAAGAAATCTCATTCATCAACGCCTAGCTCTAGAAAGCTCAAATTTGACATATGCACCTTACAATACCAGGGCAAGGAATGTGATTTTTTTTTGAAATGCCACCATAGGGGCGTGAAAGAGGGGCTAGATAATCTAACGACACATTCATCATTTCTAACATTAGAAACAAGAAACTTGGAATTCCGCATCTTGGTTAGGAATTAAAGGACACCTACATCAAAGTTTTCAAAAATCTTACCCTCAAGCGGACGAAAAGGGAGCTGGATCTTCTTATGATACGTCTGTCATTTTCAACGGTCAAAACATAAAACTTGGTTTGTTTGAAGGTGGTTGACAATGTTTCGTGGTGTATTTCATCAGTTCGGACTTCNTTGGAACAAGCTGAAAAAATCATTATGGCCCGAAGGCTTCAAAGTTTGGAGACCCCTGATCTAGAGTCTTACCGATATTTAAAAAAGATGATCCCAATATTTTAAGCAACTTTCGTCCAATTTCAATCATGAATATTTTTTCAAAAATAGTGGAGGTATTATTGAATACCTCTCAAACTATTATCATTCTATCTAAATAACAGAAAAGAGCTAGTAAAAATAGGTACAAATATTTCTGATCTTCGAATCACCAAATATGGAGTTCCCCAAGGCTCGGTACTTGGACCGTTATTGTTTATCATATATATAACGACATCTGCCTACATACTACTAATGATACTTCAACTATTCTCTTTGCTGACGATACTTCTTTTATCAACACCTCTACAAAACTATCTACCTACACTTTTACAAATGGCAGATGAATCCATTCACAATGCAACAAATTGGTTTTCCGCCAACTTCATGCAATTAAATGATCAGAAGACTCAAAAATTAATCATTTCAACAAACAACAACTATACAACAGGTGCACATTGTAAACTTCTTGGTATTACAATTGATGACTCTCTTAATTGGTACATGCATACAGAAAATTTAAACAAAGGTCTATCCAGTATCTTGTTTCTTCTAAGAAGGCTACGCTGTATTGTCAATCCAGAAATTTTGGGAAATACATACTTGGCACTTTGCTTCTTTGCTAAAAACACTTAGCTCGGAATAAAGTTTCTTAGTTAGATATAAAAGGACACTTATCGATGTCGAAAGTTGTAAAATGCGTAGCTTAGATTCTTGACGATATATAAAATACCCAATTTTAAATCAAAAGGGATCGGAACCCTCACATGGTTCGTTTCAGTTTGAGACCCCGTGGCTCGATATCGAGTCACAGGTCTCAAGCTGAACCGCATCTACAGTATTCTCTTTTTCCTGTTCTCAACCTCAAGAGACTGCTCACTGGAAAGAAATTTAGCGCCGGTGAAAGGGTATCGAAAATTTATATGACCGCTAAAATTGCTTTTCAGCCCAAAATTTAGTTAAAATACTAAAATACTGGAAGACAAGCTCCGTCAAAACAGAAACAGTTACAAGAAGATAAACTAGAGAGGGTTGCAAAAAGATAATAATAAGACTGCAGATAGATACGACTCGATTATAACCAGTGCCAAACTGCAGATTCGTATAACGAATTCCACCCCGTGGAATCGCGTTCACGTGTTCAATTTGACCTTGCTTTGGAGACGAACATTGAAAAAGAATCGATAAAACTAAATGGACAACAAAAACACATCAACAGTTGTCTCCCTGGCATCTGGCACAGCCCGCCGCTGCCCTGGCACGAGCGGGGGCGGTACGCGGCACACATTACGGTCGGTCCGTGGCATTTTTACTCCGTTCGGCGCTATGATGCCGTTCTCGCCGTGCCATCATGTTGATCAATAAGCTCCCGCGTGCTTCTCTCTTCTTCCAGTCTACCCCAGAGGTCGATGCGATACTTTGGATAGGGGATGGGGTGTTCGATGATGCAAAACGAAACTACAGAGGAAAAAATATCAACGCCACGACGAATTTGACTTTTTTGACTTCCGAGTCTAAAGAGTTTAACAACTACTTCTATTCAAGGTAAACAGAGAACAGCACACCGACGAAACTAAATTTAGTAACTTTCGAAAACTATGCGAATTATTGGAAGAGTATTCCAGGAAAAAAATTCTGGAATTCTTCATAAATCATATAGGGATCTAGAGTAGGGATTAGGGAGTAGGAATTCCTTGTACTCTTTCACTGAAATGGTTGACCAGATCGCAGGTGATACAGCTTTTGTTTTTGGAATTCCTAACAGCAGAACTGAGGTAAACTAGTTTCGCATACATGATTGTTATCAAATCAATGGAGCAATTACCTGGTGACCAGAAGGTTCACAGCAAACGAACGTTCCCTGCTAGTGGCCCTGGATGAATATCTCGCGAATACTTTCACAAAACACGCTGGTATTCCCCAGAGATCCATATTGTATCCCTCACATGGAAATCCTTCTATATCTATTTCCTCTCCACATTTTTCTGGAGGCCAGATGGACAATATACAGAATTGTGCCTAATGTCACCAACGGCAGCCTTACTCAGTCCTAATCTCGAGCAGAAAAGACTGGCTCCTTCGGGAGAAGGAAACAATAAGTGCAGGTTCTGGTACAGGCGTATGCAGTCGCAGACCAAGAACCTGCCTAGCCCAGCCACGCTCGAAGCAACTTGGCTTTAATCGAACAACATCTTAATTGCTACTGAACTACCAGAAACGACACTCCCCATTAGGAAAACTTGACAAACCATCCCTGGTCTGAACGGTAACAAAGTTCCTTACATGTGAGGATGTTGCAAGAATCGGACAGAAGCTGCCATTGGCAGAGTTTCGGACTTCTGGTAACACCTACGTTAGAAGCACGTTACCAAACAATCATCATTAGGGTATAGTACGGATGATCTACGTTGTATAATTACTGTAGGCTGAAGAAACTTGGACTGTCAGAAAATAGTGCATGTAGTTTTTGTTTGGGAGGTAATAAGGCAACAGAGTTTTGTACATAATTTGTGTAGGTGCTGCCTATGTCTCAATGAGGTTTCAACTGTTTGACAGAGTTTCACTATCGCCATCTTGATGAAGAAAGATAATTCGACAAAAGTAATCGGCTTGGTTAGGAAACTGGACTTACTTAGTCCAGTCTGAATTAGGGTAGGTTTCAATATATCCTCGCGGGCTTGAGTGAAGGGCTAAATATACCAATTCACTTTGGAAGTACATAATTTGTGTAGGTGCTGCCTATGTCTCAATGAGGTTTCAACTGTTTGACAGAGTTTCACTATCGCCATCTTGATGAAAGATAATTCGACAAAAGTAATCGGCTTGGTTAGGAAACTGGGCCCACTTAGTCCAGTCTGAATTAGGGTAGGTTTCAATGAATCCTCGCGGGCTTGAGTGGAGGGCTAAATATACCAATTCACTTTGGACCAAACCTAACCTAACGTATTGTAACGATATGCCGGCCAACGAACAAACACATGACATCACCGCGATAGAATGCAGTCGACAACCGCCGGTAAAACCGCCGACTACCATTACAATATATAAGCCCGGCTTCCCGACCCAAGAGGGCAGTTCAGAAAGTGAATCTAGCGGTTAAACAAGGAATTCAAGTAGTGGAAATAAATTAAGCGTTAGTTGGTAAGCGTAATAAATAAATTAGTTTGTGATTAGTGAAATATTGTTTGAAATAGATTTGTTGAAGACAGTTAATTCTTTGATTTGCTACAGTATACAGTAATTGTTTAGATGAAAGAATAATGAAAATATATCATTAACGAGAAAATTATCTAATGAACAAGGTATCAGGCGTATTTTTCGATCAAGAAGTGCCATAGGTTGATACGGCGTTATTGCAACAGATTTTTTTTACAAATATATGCTCCGCATCAACAAAATAGCCGCGAAACGTCCCATATTCACCATAAATAAACTATGATATTTTAGTAAATCATCCCCTAAAAAAATAATGCCAGCCGCCACTGGTCGTCGTAAATCAATTGTGACGTGGCTAAGATGGCGCTGAACTCGACGTGCGCTGCGCGATTGTTCTAGTTAGATGCCGCGCCGCTTCAATGCACTTATAGCAAATTCCCTATTGGCTTCAAGAGAATTCGATTGCCATATATAAACGCTACCCACTCCCCGATCGAGAATTCAAGTGACAGTGCGGTGCGGAGTGATATCAAACAAGGCGATAGCCATTTGAATATTAGTTTGAAGTTTTAGTCAAAGTGATTGGTTGTATCAACAGTGAAGTGAAGTTATGTTCGATTATTGTACAGCGTAGTCAATTATTATCGAACCCACTGGGAAAACTTAACAGTACTACCAAAAAAAAACTTACCGGGCATATTCAGCTCGGGCGCCACCAGCTCGTTCAGGTCCGGTTCCTCGCCGTACCAGAAGATCCACAGCTCCTTGGAAGCCGCCAGGCTCAGTGGTGGCGGCGGCTGAGCCGGCGTCGGACCCAGTTCGAAGGGGTCCTCGGCGCGCGGCGTCGACACGCGTCGCCACACGCACAGTATGTCCGCGGCGAGACATCGTGCGTAACTCCGCAGCACGGGGTCTTCGAGAGGCTCGCCAACGGAGGCGGCACCATGGCCTCCGACCCTCTCCGCCGCCTCGCTCCATACGAGCCTACGCCATTTTATACCGGAGAGTTCAGTCTGAAACAAGAAAAAGAACAGGTGAGTTGTGGTTCGTTCGAGTCACTTCCATTATTAGAAAATATTTGAAGGTGATCAAAAGATAATTATAAACTAAATAACAATTTTAATGAAAATAATAATACATCCGGCAGAAATATTAGCCGGACAAATACAGAAGACTGTCATTCTTTGCTCACTGCGCTTGCTCAGGGCACATGATTGTCGGACCCAGTGAACACTTACCCCAAGGTGTGGGGAGTGGCTGTTGGTTGATCATGTTGACGCGAATGTATCGGGGCTTCGTGGGATAGGGCCTGACCAGCGTAAAAATTAATAATAATAAAAGTAATAATAATGCATTGGGTCTTCTTCAACAACATTCAAGACCCTGATTTATCAAAGCGCCTGCTTTCGCTTTCCTTAGGTCGAGTGGGCTGAAGTCGGTAACTGAGGGGTTCTTCTTGTTATATATTAACGACACAGCCCGCATTAATATAACCGCAGAAATAACCCAATTCGCTGATGACACTACATTATTTTGGCATTCTCTTGTCATTTAATATCTCAAAAAACTAGCATCATCACCCTCATGTGCTCCACACTAGATACCTACCTGGATACTCAATTAATAGAAAACAAAATGTCAGCAAAACTTCTGGGATAACAAATTGATAAAAATTTCGATTTTGAAGGTCACATATATAACCCATGAAAAAAAATTTCATCAGGATGCTTTGCAGCAAATGAACTGGGCACTAATATGGCAAAAAATGTGTACTTTGCTCTCATCGATCCCCATCTGGGATACGATATCTGTTTTTGGGGAACGTGTTGCCAATACACGTGAAATTTTCATTTCACCACGACGAAATACCATAAATAAGGTCAATATAGGTTCACCAATTCCAACATCATCAAAAATTGAAAGGCCTTTTATATATAATGAAAAAAAATGTTTAACCATTTGCCAATTGAGATCAAAGGCATAACATGTACCACTGAATTTAGAAAGTCTGTAAAAAAGTTTCTGATTTCAAAGGCTTTTTATTCTTTAGACGAATTCTATTCAGACAGAAATTTAAATTATATAAACAATTAATTTTAATTATATTGTGTTTCAGTACCTACTGGTATTTAAACTATGTGACTTTTTTTAACTTTTTGTTTAATGTTTACATTTAGCTCTGAACTGTATAGTTGAAAATGTTTACGAAGTTGATACTTACTGTTATTTTCTATGCATTCACTTTTATATGTTTATGCTTTATATTTTTTATATTCTCATACTTACATTTATGTGTTACATGAGAATATTCATTATTATTATTTATTTCAATATGTAGCATATATATTCTTTCTTTCTGACTACTTTTTCACCCCAAAATGCTGAAATCACCAAATGTTCAAATATTACTTCAATTTGTATAACTTATATTCTTTAAAATAATGTCACTTTTGACAATAATATTTCATCTTCGACAATATCTTTCATGTTGTGTATCTTATAGTTATTTCTGAGAATAATAACACTTTGTCAATGACATTTCATCTTCGACAATAAAGTACATTTTGATTTGATTTGGCCTGTCAGAATGGTTTCTTCAATACGTTAGTCCACTGCAGTCGACCCGTGATGGGTACAGAGGTTCCTCACACAAGGTGCAGGGCCAGACACGTGGCGTCTGAGACTCTAATGCACTTGATGCCAGATATTATTTTGTATCTAAAGAAATATTTATTCGTTCTTCTTTCGATTGTTTTTTCAACAGAACAAAGCAAGTGATTTCAAACAATAAATTGATTTCAAAATAAACTCTTCACAAAGATGTATAGATCATGCATAGTAGTAGAAAGCCAAAATTTGTCTCTCTCAAAAAAATTGTCGCTCCTGAAAATATGCTTCCTTCAATTCAAAAAGAAAAATGTTTCAGGAAAACAACAAAGAAACCATAAATTCTTGTTTTGGAGTAGTTGATAATTAGAGGTTTCCATATGTTGGATATCTCTATACTAGCTTAGCTGAATGCGTCGTAGGACAACATACATGCAGCTTCTTTGAACTTCCTCTCAAACCAGTGTTCCTCCCTACGGGTGATCTCAGCTTCCAAGCAATATCATATTAGATAATGGAAGGCCGAACTAGTAAAATTCAACATAAAATCTAATTTGAATTGCCAAGTTAAATACAGGAAATACAGGAAATCTGGCAAAGCTGTCATAATTTACGGTTAGATTTGAATGCATTTTTGGTGTAACTATTAAATTTTGAGATTTCCAACAATAGCAAAATGTCGAACCATCGTTCACTCACAATCTTTTATTTTTACGATTTATAACATACCACCATTTCATTATCAGTCGAATACATTTTGCAATATAAACCGCAATAAACAAAAGTGGAATATATGTTTTTCAGTGTGGTCGGCTCTGGTTTAGGAACTGACGATAAATATAGTCTTGAGTAATTTATCGCATCGGATGCGTAAATCAAAATTAGTCATAAAACTGATCTACCACATCTACAAGTGTAGTTCTGCTAACAATAATATAATGGAGAATCCTAAAGTACGGGAAGAGAGAGTGTAGACGATGAGTTGTAAAGAATTACAGATACTTTCCAAGAAGTTTGCATAAAAACAGACAATGTCATTAAAGATTTTGTACTTTGGTGTAATATCAATCAATTGATTATTAATTTAGAGAAAACAAAATACATGCAATTTTCATTGAAACGGATAGCCAGTGAAGAAATTCCTGTCGAAATAGAAGATTTTAAGGTAGCTACAAGCGTGAACTATAAATTTCTTGGCACTATAACTGATGAAAAATTTAATTGGTCTGAACAAATCAACAATGTGTGCAAAAAATTGAACCCAACATTTTTTGCTATTTACAGGTTAAAATAAACCCTAAGCAAGGCATCGCTAATCAATGTTTACTATGCTCTCGCTCATTCAGAAATTAGTTATAACATTATCACATGGGGACAAGCAACGGAATGTAGTCGTGTATTCATTAATTAAAAAAGCATTATACGACTGATTTTCAATCTAGAATTTCGAAAATCGTGTAGATCAGTCTTTGAAGAAAATGAAATACTTGCTGTACTGGAAATTTATTTATTGAAAATATTAGTATACGTTCATAACAACATTAAAAACATCGAGAAAAAATCGGATATTTACAGTTATTCGACAAGAAAACAGTTTCTACTATAACTTACTGCCGAGGACACTAATAAGAGACAGTTCTTTCAACAAATTAAAAAAAAGTGTGAAACCTTTCTTGACCAATAATCCTATATATGCAATTGATGAATTTCTGGATTTGGTTAAAACTTGTTGAACATTCGTGTATACATATACGTGTATCTGTGTAAAAATTGATATAGTGTGTATATTTTGTAATTTTATATTTATGAGTATAGTGTGTAAATTTCATTTTTATATTTATGAATAGCGTCTCCATTGCATAATTTGTATAAATTACCTATCTATATCTACTTGTATCTACTTGTGTATTGACGAACTTAACATATTTCATATGACAAAAAAGGTAATAAATGAATTAATTGAATGTTCTAGAGGATAACTAAATAAGTCTAAAAAAGCAAAAACCTAATCAACCGTTCGAACTTCTAAAACACGTGTGTTGATTTGAACCCATCATAGCTAAAAACAACAAGCCCCGAATAAGTGTGTAAACAGAATATTCAAATTCTGACAATTATTTAACTTGACACAATTATTAGCGTTGATGAAAGCGAGACCAAGTAAGCGAGTCGTAAAACAAACAATAATGACTCGACTACCATAATTTGCGAATTTCATTACCACCTATTACACTGAACAAATTACTTCCAAGTCGCACGAAACTTCCTGAAAGGGTTCATTTGACAATTATATAGAATAATTCAAATTTGCGTTGTTTAAACTCATGCGTACGGTTTTATTAGATGAGTTCACAAGACAAATTTTGTGACCTCAAAACTTTGAAAACGTGCTTCTGAATGATGCAGTAATACGCTGTTTATTGGAATAACATTTTTTGGCTTTATCCATTTCTACACAAAAAAAGTGAAAGTTCTCCATATTTCTCTATGAAGATGGAAAAGTACAAAGCCAAGTTCGATCAAATTTCAAGGTTTTGCTCGCTGTTTTCTTCGATTTCTGTGGTGTAATGCAGCAGCAGTTCTTGCCACATGGCCAATAAGGAGTATTATCTTGAAGTTATGCGCCGCTTGCGGGAAGCAATACGAGAAAACGTTCGGTTTTGTGGAAAAACAATCGATGGCTATTGGATCACGACTCGTCATGTTCGTATTTGTTTTGCCAAAGACAACACCAAAATCATGCCTCAGCCCCCATATTCACCAGATTTGGATCCCTGCGACTTTTTACTGTTCTCACGAAAGAACGGCTTTTTACGACGATTGAGTAGATAAAAACGATTCGCAAAGAGAGCTCAAGGACATATCAAAAAGTGGTTCGAGTTTATTATATATTTGGGGGACTACTTTGTAAGAGACAAAATAGAAATTGACCAATAAATAAATATTTTTTTGAAAAAAATTTAAATTCACTTCATTTTTCAAACAGAGTAGTAAAACCCCTTTCAATTTAAACGCTGTCTAATTTATCAACGAATCGTTTTACTTGTGAAGATTCACAATTTGAATTTTGAAGTTTTGATGAACATTTGAACTATGGCACCTAATTAAACTGACTCAATTTTCTGATCTGTGGTGGGTTCATGTCTACAAAAGAGTGACTATTGTTGGTAATAATATATTGAAAAAAATGAAGCGTAGCCTAATTTTTAAACGTCATACTTACGCCATACTTACACAACCAACCTACGGTATCTAGAGCTTAATTAGCAAGTTTTATAACGAAAATATTACACGAGATACACTAGTTTTTATGTATTTTGTTTTGAATCGAGGTCTAGCATAATTTCGAGGAAATCTTGCTGACTTGAGTACCAAGTTAGACAAAAACAACAAAAATTCATATGAC